GTCCAAAATGTCACAAAGATATTACATAAAGTTTCCACATTGTACATGGCCCTGTAGCTGGTATTTAACCATCTGAAAACACCTTCCTTCCAAAGCAGATGCAGGGATATCAAGGCCTTGGCTAGGGAACACCAAATCTGTCATGAAAATGTCAACTGTAGCTACCAGAGGCAGAAACAGAAGGTCCTGAATCACTTTAGCAGCACTAATTCTGTATGTGGACTATTCTTTCTGCTGGATATATTATTTACACTTCAAGTATCAGATCTATTATTCACTGGCTTTCCTTGTTTTCATTTCCTTAAGAGTCAGTTCTTGTGCGTTATTTCTGATATGGTACAGCCTTCCTACAAACACTAAGGGCGCCAGAAGCACATAACTTGGAACCACATGTGTCCCATTTTGTACAGTCATACAACCTTCCCTGAAACAAGTTTAGGGGAAGCCACCTGTTCTTCCTGCTTTCAGTTGAAGGGGCTGTAGTGTGGCCAACTCTTGTAACTATTGTGAAGCTCCTTTTCCTGACCAGTTTTTCATTATTAAGCAAACTTACAGGTGTGTGCTTAAATGATCCCATAGAACTATAGATTTCTGCTATATACAGTCGTATCTTGGCTGGCGAACGGCTTAGTTGTTGAATGTTTCAGCTCCTGAATGATTGAAAACCAGGAGTGTTCTGGTTTTCGAACAATTTTTGGAAGCCAAATATCTGGTGCGGCTTCTGCTTGGCTGCAAGAAGCTCCTGCATCTAATCGAAAGCCGCGCCTTGGTTTTCGAACGGTTCCAGGAATCAAATGGAGTCCTGGAACGCGTTCTGTTTGTCAACCAAGGTACGACTGTAAATCTATTGTTATCTGAAGATTTCATAGATCTATAGTTTATAGATCTATAGTTTACATTGCATTTGGTTGCAGGCAACCACCATAGATCAGAGTCAAGTGCAGCAGCAGCAGACATCCACCACTAAAATGCTGTCTGGGGGCCTGGAAGGAAGGGCAACAAGGAAGGGCAGTTACTGCTGCCACCACTGAGGCCACAAAAACAACAGGAGGGGGAAAAAAGTGTCACGGTGCATTGAAATGTGGAAGATGGGTTTGGGGTGGGTTGGATACTATCAGTGACATCATACTGAAGGTCTCTTAAAGTTTTCAGTCAAGGTGCTGTGGAAACACTCAGAATGGTGGCAGAGCTGTGTCTCTTAGCAACAACAGTGGCTTATAGAATCAGAGCATTAGGGAGTGATAATACAGCGGTCACTTTAGCTTTTTAATTTTCAGAGCTCTAGATAATGTGGAAGGAATTCAACATTGCACTAAAGCAATTGTTCCATCAGGAGAAGCATTTCCGCTTTCTAGATGGAATGATCCCCTTTTCTCCCCCTGCACATTGTTCTGGGGGTTCTCCTGACACCCCCAAAAGCCAATTGGGAGGGGCAGAGGGAGAAGGGGGGAAAGTGGAAGAGAAAGTCCTTGCATAGGGTTTTTGTTGATGGGTCTCAGCTGAATCCTGCCCTGTATCCTAAAACTGACAAAAGTGTTGACAGGGGCTCAGTGCTCAGACCTCATGACACCAATTCCTTCTCAGCTAATTGACTGCACACATTGGGGTCCTCTGTTTGGGGGGCATCCAGTGGAATTTGATTAGAAGTACTGAAATATTTTACGACTGCTGTTATTATTAGTACACTGCTTGAAATCCATACGGTTTGTCATTATTTTATATGTATGTTATAAGGCACCTTGGGAAGATAATATGTTTTGAAGGGTGGCGTATAAACTTGGCATCTAAAAGGAAAGGAAATTACTAAGGAGTATTTCAGGGGCCACTGGAACATATGTTTCTTCTGTAAGCATCTGTTGTCATTTCAACTGAGTCACAATGTTTAATAAACCACCAACACGTTTCTCTCAGTTTCTCCCAATATACCTATTTTGGGAAATAGCCACACACCATCGGTGTTGGTAGAGATAACACCTTTACATTCATGCTGCTCGCTGACCTCAAAAGGAATGTATGAAAAGATCAAGGCTGAGGAAACGGTGGTGAAATCGGATGCAGCATTCTGACCAAGTTATGCACGCTCCATATTATTTGGCATTGTGCCACTATGTTCAGAATTAAAAGATGGATTATTGTGGATTTGTTTTCTTTTGGGAATTAGGACTGGCACCGGCTTAGCTTCAGTGGAGGTATTAACCGAAATGCATTTCTGTCTTACAGCTTCATCCCATTTAGCCACTGTGACTTTGGAGTGACTTCCAAAGCAATCCAATCAGAATGAGTCGGCAGATTAACATTAACTTTTATGTCAGGATGAGCGGCGATGCAAAATGAAGCAGGTGATGCGGCAGCTAACGATATAAAAAAATTAGAAAGAAAACATTTCGTGCAAGCTATTGAAGCTTTTCAAAAACCCATAAAACCCAGTGTGCATTCTGAGCTATCTAAGGCGGCATCCGCACTATAAATTTGAAGTGCTATAATACCGCTTTAGCTATCATGGGTTCTCCCAAAGAATGCTGGGAACTGTTAGTTATCTGGAAACAAATTAGACAAATATCTCTATCAACGGCTACTAGCCACAATAGCTATGCTCTGCCTCCACATTGGGTCTGAATACCAATTGCTGGAGCCACAGGAGGGGAGAGTGCTTTTCTGCTTGAGGGCAAGCTTGGTATTTAGCCTGACCCAGCAGGCACTTCTTATGAGACTCCTAACAACTATTCCCCACCCCCTACAGCTACAATTCACAATAGTGGTTTTAGGTCCTGGGCAGGAATAGTGAGGGGGGGTGTATGCATTTTCTCATGAAACTACTTAATTTAGTCTTCCCAAAACAATATGCAGATCAAAACAATTATCCTTTGAAATTTGAACTTCTCTGAATTTTACAGTGCAATTCTTCCACCAAAAGCATGACCTTCATCCCCCCCCCCTTTATTGATCATGCAGGATCCAGTCATGGATTATACACGTCATGGGCAGGGCAGCGGCAGAGCAATCCGATCAGGTGCCTAGGGTGGCACGTATGTCCTGCGCCCAGGGGCGGGGCCAGCCGCCTGCAGGGCGGGGTGAGCTGGAGCAGAACACTCTGTGGAGCCTCCAAGGAGTCTGCCTGCCTCCTCCCCCTCAGCTCCCCTCCAGCTGAGGGGGAGGTGGTGGGCAGGCTGTTTGGGCAGGAGAGACACGTGGCTCGGGCGCATTGCAGGCCCCGCGGTGAGTGCAGCCGAGAATTTTGTCACGCCCCTCAGTGGTGACACCTGGGGCAGCCCGCCTCCACTGCACCCCCCTTCTTCCGCCTCTAGGGAAGGGGTGGGGGGAAATTGATGCATAAATTTGCACCAAAAATGCTGATGAATTTCCATGATTCAAATTGCTGCAGAAATGTAAAGAGTGGAACTGAAGCCTGGAAAAATGAAAATCCGAGAGAAACTGAACTTGACAGACTTGTCCATCTCTAGTAATGGGTCATGCGGCTGCCCTTATATGGCTTCCTTGAATGGTACAATCCATGACCTAGTCCATGCAGATAGCAAATAATGAATTAAACATGTTTCTGGGCTATATCACATCATACTGCAAGTGTGGGTGTGTGTAAGAGGTTGTTAGATAGATCGCTGATTCCCCTTTAAAAAATCGTTACAAATAGAAATTAGTTTGGTATCAAGACTAGTCTAACATCAACACAAACACATTCAGCAATATCTGGAGAAGGAGTGGAAGAAAAGATAATGCATCACTCTTGGGTACAGACTGGCAAGCTTTTAAAAAGCTTTTCCTAAAAGAGAGACAATGATTTTCTTAAGATGGCAGTCATGAAATTGGTATTTTCTCTTGTAGATAGGTACAATTTAAGCTTATACCATTAACCCCTCAACTCTGTGGAAGAGCTAAACATAAAACCATGAAAAATGTGACTATGTCTTAAAATATTCCATGTTTGTCTTTGCTAATCTATTTTTAAAAAGACATGCAGAATTTACAAATGGAAAAGGTTGATCAATAAATCAGGCACACCTGAGCTTCCCTTTACAGTCTTGTGTCTAATTCACTAACACAACTTCATACACATCAATATAACCCAAGGCCTTTCCATTTCAAGTAATGTAACTATGAACTGTTAAATTTGCTAACAGGGATGTTTTATTTGACCATTTAATATCACTTTCAGATTAAGATTTCAAATAAGGCTAATCCACGATTTGTTTTTTCTACTGAATATGCTTTATGGGAACTGAAGGCCAGTTGTCTAGACAATTCTGAAGAAAGCAGATTTCCTAAACTAAGCCCCTTTTCTGTATGGTGTGTTGTGTACTGCACGGTCACAATTAAGTCAAAGTCATTTGTGAAAATTCACTTTCATAGCTGTACCAACCCAATGGTCTTTATCCTCTGATAGCTGTCTAGAGTTTTATAGCAGTGCAGGTGTACAAGACACTTTAAACATGGAAACACGGTTCTTATTGTAGCACCTTAAAGCTTAAGACCTCAGTTACACTTAACATACAAACTAGAAATGCAGACTGAGCCTATGCATGCTTACCTGGAAGTAAGTCCTACTGTTTTCAATGGGGCCTACTCCCAGGTAAGTATGCATAGCAATGTCCCCTTCGTTTCTGAAATAATAGGAGTTTCTTGGGGTCCAGATTCACAATACTTATTGGCAGAAATATATAAAGAGATGCAAGAAGTCTTTAGAAACTGATTGCGGCTGTATCCTTCAGTCTCCCAGCTCTCTGATAAAATCACTAGCACAAAATTATACAGTTAGCTGGCAAAGCTGGAGAAGCAAGCACTCTGATGGCTCTTCTGAAACTGGCTGCATATATGAAAGACCAGTGCAACCAACAGCTAAATCGGAATTTTTGGGCTGGAGGGTTACATAACATTTTAAAGGATTGGTAGGGTTTGAAGTGTATTAGGAATCATAGAACAGAATCATAAAGTTGGAACGGACCACAGGGCTCATCTCTCCAGCCCTCTGCAATGCAAAACCTTTTTGTCGAATGTGGGAGTCGAACCCACGGCTGTGAGATTAAGTGTCTCATGCTCTACCAACTGAGCATTACCTAGCAGAGCATGATCGCAGGGTCCTTCTTCCAATCCACATCAGGGGTAGATATAACTCCCATGGCCAAAGCTGAGGGATCAGTGGCACTCTAGAGGTTGTTAGACTACAAATCCCATCATCCCTGACCATTGACCATGCTGGCTAGGGCTCATTGTCCAACAACATCTGCAGATGGGAACCAGTTCCACACCCCAAGGCCACTGCAGGACAAAGGGGAGGGTAAAGGCAATCTTACAAATGAAACAGGGCCCAAAGCATGGCATTAATTGTGGGAATCCTAGTAATGCGCTGGTTAAGAAATACAATAAAATTGCAGTTGCAGGGATGCCTGACTGGCAGAGAATGGGGAAGGAGTGTTTAACCCTTGCCCCCAGCTGACATCCACAGGCAACCCATAAGTTTCACTAAGTGCAGAATAGGAGAACTGTGAAACAAAGTAGAGGATGAGTGATCTGAATTAATCTGAATGAACCAGGTGTGCGTTTTATTCTGCTGCTCCCTTCTGGATTAGGTAGGCATGCCACCCTCCCCAAACAGACCTACTGAATGTCATCAAGAAGACCACAGGCTCAGAATTTTCATCTTAGTCTGCTTCTGTGACCCATTCTTCCTTCTAGGGCAGCACTGCCTTTGCAGAGACAACGCTGTCTTGCCCCAATCAATGGAGAGCATGAAACTATTTAAATGGACTAATGGGGAACAAGAGACCAGAAAGGTGTGCTTTGAAAATAGGCTGAAGCAGGCCTTGATCAAGAACAGGAGTTCTAGTTTTTAACTGAAATAATTTGAGAACTTCTCATGAGGTGTATGGAACTCTTAATACTTTCCAAGCTAACTGTCTACTAGATGAGACAAATAATGGAAATTCTGTCATGTAATTTCAAACCATTGTCAAGATTAATAATAATACCTCCTCATTTTCCAGCTTGAAGCAGTTTGTGTTTTCCCTCCCCAATATGATTCACCAGAAACACTTCATTATATACTGTCCATTAGCTCACTCTTCCACACAATATCTCATAGCATTAGTCCCGTAGCAGTAATTTCTTCAATAGTGGTTCATTACTGGCACTTAACAAGCCCCTTCTGGCCTCTAATTAATTACCTTGTTTCTTACTCTTGTTGAATGGAAACTACTGTCAGGGGCATTGTTTGCTCAATTACCCAAAAGCTCTAGACAAATGTTCAGAAATTAATGTAGACAGAAAGTGCTCACAATTCTGTCCATTGCATTGTTTTCTGGGGGTCTTTTTTTTAAGCAAATGCTGTGAAGTCTGAAAGTCCTATTCTTTTTGTATCATGATTATCATTTGTTGGTTTCGGTGGCCCAGTTTTCTTGCTGTGATAAAACATTAACTTGATTGATTGATTTTATGTGATTTCCCACTAACCCTTCACCATAAAGATCCCGGCTGGGTTACAACAATTTAACCATACGAGTATAAACCAGTAAAACAAGTCCAAACAAAATCAGCACAGTACAGGTTAAACAAAACAGAAGAGGTGGGCCCAACAAAATTACTTTAACTAACAAAGTCCAAAGGTAAAAATGTGTATCTTCATCATACAGTGGAAACTGAATACTGTTGGAACTCAGTGTAGGGAGTTGCACGATTTACGGGCTGCCAGAGAGAAAGTCCTATTCTGGGCTGCAATTTTCCCCACTTTTGATGGTGGCAGAATTACCAAGAGAGCGCCTTCTGCTGATCTTGACTCTTGAGACAGTCTGGATGGATGGAGAGCGTCTTTGGGACCTCAGTACTTTTAGGGCTTCCAACCTTGAGTCTGGAAACAAGTTGGCAATCATAGTTTATGGTTTAGTATGAATATAACTGTAAGGGTTCTTTTGCTGCTTTCTGGTTGCACTGGAGAAGACAAAGCATAATCCCTGCCTTAGCATCACATCCAAACCATGTATCGCGGTTTGTTTCAGTACAATAAACCACAGTGAGAAGTCAAGAACAAACTTTTGGCTACTGGTTGTGGTTTGTTGAGAGTGAAATAGCAATGATCCCTGGTTTGGACATAATGCTAAGTCTTGGTTGTTTCCTCCATGCAATAGTGGGAAGGAGTGAAACAGACCAGAACTACACAATCCTGGTATAATTTAGCATCACACATGTAAATGAAGACAGTGAGTAGCAATGGGCTAGATGGTTGTCTCTTTCAGTGCAGAACTGCTTCAATCCTCTTTTCTTTCTACTATATACATTGGAAAATGGCTTGTATCTATGTCTATTCTCCATGCATTTGGACACCTCTTGAGATATTGTCACCCAGCTGGGTGTGACAATTCTTGAGGTGGAGGAACTGGTTTTCCTCTACGTTTTCATTTTGAGTCAATATGGTGGATCCAAATGTTTTGAACTGCACCAAGATTGCCCAATTGGGTGTAAGGGTTCCCAAAATCAGGCAGCAGGTTTTGGTCTATGGTCTACTTTCAGCCATGTTAAATGGGAATGCTTTCTCTCCTCTGTAAACGAGCTTTCCCTTTAGGATTGACAGTTAGATGGTAGCATTTGCAGCTGAGTAATCATTCTATATTTGGCACTGGAGTGTTTCAAAACAAATAAAAGATGTGGGAAGGCAGAAAGCTGGTAGGCAACTTACTCACTATTTATTGAAAGATTCAATATATTTAAATAATTTCTCAAGTTGCTAAATAAATATTTGCTTCATTTCCCTCTGAATTGTGCAGCATTTTTATAGCAATGTTAATCACATATTAACTCTAGGCTCCCTGGCTATCTTAAAGAAATCTGAAGCGTGATTGAAAACCTCTGTCAATCACTCCACTGTTACACCCATTCCTCAGATTAATGTCCATGATACGCCAAGTTGTTTTTTTTAAGGTTTTTTTTGGCTTGAATCCATAATTGCTCATAGTCTTCTGAGCATTGCTACCTACCTATCAATTCTAAATGCCCCATAAAGCCAATTGCTGCATATTTGCACAAGAATAATCTGCAGTATCTGCAAGCGGTAGCAGAGTGGAGTGCGAGGAGTCTTGGTTTGGTTTTGGTTTTAAAAAATGCTTTGTGCGTCTGCATCTAATGTTGCCCCTTTCTAAAATTTATATATTGGAGTGTGGTTTTCTTTTTGTAAAAATACCAAAGAATAAAATAAAACTACATGGTGGAGGCCATGGGTGCCATGGTGCATTGGCGGGGGGGCACCTGCCCTTCTTCTGATAAGAAATGTTCTGTGGGGGACACAAAAAAGGGGGGTCGAGGAGGGTCAGTCGGGAGGGCGAGTGAAAACTGCCCCTATTTTCATCTGAGGAATGTTGGAGGGCATGGAGATGCTTCCGTGGGGAACTTCAGGTTCATTTTGCCTTAGTTTGCTGGATCTGACAAAAGGGAAGCCATTTTGAAGCCAAAATGCTTGGGAGGGAAATGCAAGATGGACACAGAATATTGCTGTCTGGCAACAACAATATTCATAATGAAATTTCTTGTTTGCTTTTTAATTTTATTAAGCACTGTTTTTTGAACACCAGACAGAGAATGCAATCAAGGCACATTATTTTGTGGTGGTGTAGCAGAATGATCGCTTTCACACAACGTAGCGGGCAGAACACATTCATCAGGATCCTCTTGCGATTTGTAACGGCTTGGAATTATGTGTATGTTGTCATGGGAGTTTATATACTCTCTTTCCCTGTCCATGGATCTAATTATAAAACACATTCATTTATCTTCTGAAAACCATCAGCTATCGTGACAGCAAAGCCATCGCTCGTATTTTTTTTCAAACACTCTTAATTCCTGCAGAATGTTTTGTGCAAATCGCAAGAACTCATGCTGACACCGTCTTATGCAGTATGATCGAAATGTCACCTCGTCTCACTGCCGCTGCCCCTTCGAAGATGATGATAATTAAACTAGCGGCATGTACATGACAATCCTTCAGATACCAGGGTAGAAAACCCTGGCCGCCTCTGCTGGAATGCTGCAATGATTTCAATCCATTAAAATAAATAGCAACAAGGAGTCAACAGAAATTTGTGTATTGAGAAATATGGCAGGTTCAAGAACCAGGCAGTTCAAAAAATTTCCATGCAGTCCTATTCAAAGAAAATTAAAATGCAGGCATACTTTAACATCATATCATGTTGAATCTTCAAGTGCTCCAGGGACTTCTCCCAGACAAGATCCACTGAAGTGAACTCGGGAAATGCAGGGTCAACATTTGCTGGTATTTGTGTATTTAATAGGCATATTGAATTTAGAAGCAAGTATTACAGAATCTGACAAATGTTGAGTTAGAATGGAAGGGTTTATTAAGAATGCTGTATCCTTGGGGTAATGGGTGGAATAATCCTTGGGGCGGGGAATGAGTTGGATAAATTTATAACTTAGAAAATAAGTATTTGTGAAACCACATGTGTAAATGTAAACATTTCTGCATTTATAAATGAATACCTGGAAATATCTATGCCATCTATCTAAGGATAGTTAATGAAAGTGTTTGGGGTGCGGGGAGTGACTTCTCCAGTGTTTGGACTTACATCAGTGGGTTTTTGATAAAAATTCCTTCATCCCAAACTTGCAGCTGTTTCAAGGCAAAAACAAACTCATGTTGGTATAGGGCCACTATCTAAAATGACCAATCCCCCTACATCCTACTTTCCACCCTCAGTATTGGCTGGTGAGGGAGGGGCAGCATTGATCATTTGGCTTCCAAACATGGTGAATCACTGCTAGTTACCAAGAAGAGGAGATTCGAGGCAACAGGCAGGTCAGTGTGGTGGAGATGCAGTGGCAAAGCCAATCTGATGTTCCTGCTGCCGCACTTGCACTGCACTGAGATCCTTATAGACACTGCCTCACCCCTATCACTCTTGGTAACAGGCAGTGATGTGCAGTATTGAGAACAGTGGCATAGCATGGAGTGTAAAATTGCTAGGGGCACAAAATGTCAACACCTAGTGCTGCCTCAGTGCTATGTGTGCTATAACAATACTGTTCTACCTGCATGATTGGAGGCTAGAGGCGAAAAAC